TTCTTTAGGCAGAAGGAAAATTATAGCAGATGGAACTAAGGGTCTATGCAAAGTAATGAAGAGCATCAAAAATGATAACTACATGGGTCAATATACAAGATAGTTCTCATTATTTAAATCACTTTGAAAGTTAATTGACAATTTAAACAAAAATAATAACAAATTTACTATAGGGCTTATAACAGATAAAGTGTATGATACCACCAACATAAAAGCTAGAAAGGATAAATGAAGTATATTATATTAAGGTTCTGATGTCATTTTCAGGTTGTGGTAAGTTAAAGAATGAATAAACAATGAAACAATCACTAACCAAAAGAAAGTTGTAGATACTAAGCCAAAAGGAGAAAACATGGAATCATAAAACCTACTCAGTTATCTAAAATAATGCAGAAAATAAGAAAATGGGGATAAAGAACAGATGAGACAGAGAACAAACAAGATGAAAGGCTTAAATCTAACTGTATCAGTAATCACACTAACTGTAAATTATCTAAACACCCTTATTAAAAAGCAGAGATTCTTAGACTGAATAAAAGAGTAAGACCCAATTCTATGTTGCCTACAAAACATGTGCTTTAAATATAAAGATGCAAATATATTAAAAGTAAAGGATGGAAAAAATATACCATGTTATCTCTAGTGAAAAGAAAGTGTTAGTGGCTGTACTAATATCAGACAAAGTAGATTTCAGAGCAAAGAATATTACTGGAATAAGGAAGGTCATTTCATAATGATAGAGGGGTCAGTTAATCGAGAGGACCCCTGAAAGTTTATGCTCATAATTAAATCAGAGCTTCAGAATGCACAAAGCAAAAATTGATAGAACTACACGTAGAGATAGATAAAATCATAATTATCTTTATGGTTTTCAATACGTCTCTTTCAATAACTGATAGAACAACTGGAAAGAAAATCAGCAAGGAGGAAAGTAGCCTTGAATAACACAATCAACTAACTTGACCTAATTGACATTCTGTAGAACTTTCCACCCCCAAACAGCACAATATGTTCTTTTCACATATAGCATTATTTTGAACATAAAGCATTTACCAAGACAGGCCATATTCTTGGCCATAAAACAAGTCAATAATTTCAAATGATTAAAGTCATGTAAGTATGTTCTCTAACCGCAATGGAATTAAATTAAAATCAATAACAGAAATATAGATGGAATATCCCCAAATATTTGGAAACCAAATAACATACTTCTAAATAACACATAGGCAAATAAAAAATTCAAAAGGAAAAGTAGAGGATTTTGAGTTGAATTAGAATGAAAACACCATGTCAGAATTTGTGGGATACTGCTAAGGCAGTGCTCAGGGGGAATTTATAGCACTAAATGCTTTTATTATAAAATAAAAAAAGTATCAAATCACCATCCTCAGTTTCTATCTTAAGAAAATAGAAATATTTGTGCAAATTAAACCCAAAGTAAAGAGAATTAAAGAAATAATAAATATCAAAGTAGAACTCAATGAAATAGAAAATGGAAAACATTTTGAGTTAATTGATGAAATCAAAACCTGATTCTTTGAAAAGATCAATAAAATTGATAAATCTCTAGCCAAACTAGTCAGGAAAAAACAAGACACAAATTATCAATATTAAGAATGTTGGTGACGTTACAACAGATTCTACAGATATTAAAAGGATATGAAGACAATATTATGAACAATTTCGTGACAATACATCTGACAAAATGGACAACTTCCTTGAAAATCAGAAACTAACAATGATCACTATAAGTGTTCTATATGTTATCACTTAAGTTATAGTTCTATATCTACTAAAGAAATGTAATTTGTAATTTAAAACCTTCTCAAAAGAAAATTTCAGGCCCAAATGACTTTACTAGTGAATTTTACCAAGGATTTAAGAAAATAAACAATTCTTTACAAACTCTAAAAGAAAATTCAAAAAGAGGGAATATTTTTCAAGCAATTCTTTAAGGCTAGCACTACACTGATACCAAAATCAGACAAAGATATTACAAAAAAGGAAAACATATGCCATTATAACTCATGGAAATATATGGAAGAATTCTAAACAAAGTTGATCAAGTGAAATACAAGAATATATGAAAAGGATAACACAGGATAAAGCGGAGTTTATCCCAGGAATGCAGGGATGCTTCTAGCATTGGGAATTATCAATCAATGTCATTCATTCTGTTATCAAAATAAATAAGGAAAACCTTATGACCACCTCATTAAATGCAAATAAAGCATTTTGAAAAAATCCAACATCTATTCTTGATGAAAACTCTCAGCAAACTGGGAATAAAGAGAAACTTCCTGAACCTGACAAAAGGGCATCAACTAAAAACCTCCAGCTAACGTCACACTTATGGAGAAAGACTAAATACTTTCTCTCTAAGATCAGGAACAAGAAAAGGATATTAATCTCACAAATTCTAATCAACGTTGTACTGTAAGTTCTTGTAGCAATCAGGCAAAAAAAAAATGTCATCCATATTAGATGAGAGGAAATATAACTTTCTTTATTCATAGATAACGATTGTGTATGTAGAAAATCCAGTGGAATCTCCAAAAAACCTAGTGGAAGTAATGCTAGTTTAGAAAGGTTGTGGGACACAAGACCAAGCTACAGAATGTAATTGTATTCCTATATACTAGCAACAAACAAATGGAAATTGAGATTATAAAGAAATTACATTTACAACAGCATGAAAAATGTAAATACCTCAACATTAATTACAGTCTTAAATGTAAAACCTAAACTATAAAATTTCTAAAAGAAAACAAGTGAAAATCTTTGTGACTCAAGTTAGGCAAAGATTTCTTAAATTCAATACAACAGCTGATTCCTACAGAAAAAATTGATAAATTGGACTTCATCAAAATTAAAAACTTCTACTCTTCATATGACCCTGTTAAGAGAATGAAAAGATAAGTCTCAGACTGGGAAAAATATTTGCAAAGCATGTATCTGATGAAAGACTTTTATCCACAAGACATAAAGAACTTTTGAAATTCAATATAAAAAGAAATAACTCAATAAAAATAAATGGACCAAAGATTTGAGTAGATTTCTCACAAAGAAGATACATGGATGGCAAATAAGCACACGAAAAGATGCTCAACATCATTAGTCCTTAGAAAATAATACAGATTAAAAACCCAGTGGGCTAGTACTACACAATTAACAGAACAGTTAAAATTGAAACTGGTCGTATCAAGTGTTTGTGAGACCATGGAGCAACTAGAACTCTCATACACTGTTGGGGGCAATCTAAGATGGAACCGCCACTTTAGAAAACAGTGTGGCAGTTTCTTGTGGAGGCAGGATGAGCAGGTTGAGAGGGAGGGTGAAGGGAGAGGGTGGGCATAGGGGAGGGCGAGAAGAAAGCCTTACAAAGAAGAACAAGGAAACTTGGAGGCAACTCATCTGTTCATTATGTTGATTGTAGTGATGTCTTACATGTGTATACATGTATCACAACCTACCAAATTTTACACTTCAAATATGTGAAGGTTTTTGTACTTTAATCATATTTCAATATAGCTTTAAAAAAATATTGGAACCGAAGTTTCATCTCCTTGTTAGTCTGTGGGGGAAATCAAGCTTTTCTTTTCCTTGTATGCAGCACCTGACAATTCCGTGGTCTGAGGGTTGTAGAGTGAAGGGAAGAGTTCTTTTCTCTGAAGTGTTTTCCTTGCTCTGTATAATCTATTATCTTTAACGTGTCCCAAGTCTCACTTTATTAGTTGACGGAGCTGTTGTCCTTTTATGAGACTTTTGTGCCTTATAATTCCAGCTCTCAAGGCTAAGGCTGTCAGGTCACCAGCAATTGGCTCCCCAACCACCTGTCCCAAAGAACTTGGTTTCTACTTTAATTGAGACGTGGAGCACGTTAGGTATTTTTATTGGGTGGTGTTTGGTGAATGACAGATGCACCCTGTGATGTACTGCTGTGCACATCCTGTGTTAAAATGGGCCAATTTGTTGCTAAAACACTTAAAATGAAAAGCTCAATTTGATGAAGATATATCCTGTGCACAAAGGCTATACTGGCATTTGCTTAAATACGTATCAAGGTTCATGCGCTGAGACTAAGGACAAAGCTTATCTAAATTGTTGCATTGACAGAGCAAATGGAAGCCAAACCAGAAGCTGAAGACTTGATAGTTTTGCAGTTAGACAGAGATTAAAGGTCCAAAACTGCCCAGAGAACATTACTTACTCTAATGAGTTACTATTACTCTAATGCATTGAGATTTGTTTTCTGACATTTCAAAGTATCGATTCTATTTTAAGCTATTCCTAAACCCTTTCCTCTTTTTTCTTAATGTATCTTTATTATAATAGTGATATTTTCTTATTTTACTCACAGTACAAGAATTTTGGAGAAGGATTTGACTTTAAAAACCTAAATGAATTAAGAATAAAATAAAAGGGTAGAAACTGCTAATTTGGCTCCAGTTATCGAGATAATAAAGATCGGAAATAATATCCAAATGTTGTGAGAAGTTGGGAAATTTTAGAACTATTAGTGGCATATTTAACTAAAATGAGTTTAGGAAGCTGAATACTGGACTTAGACTGAATTAAAGTAAGTGCACAGTGGCCCAGCCAAGGAGCCCACTCAGCCGCTTTGATGTGTTGTGAACCATTCAACAATTGATCCTAATTGCTGGGGAGAGCCAAGCCGGGGTTCCAGCAGTCCTCCGTCAGTAGCCAATTCTTCCATGCTCTTTCCCTCGTGTGTATTTGTAGCTCAATAGATACTAATGTTCAATATTAATAAATGTTCACAATAAATAGTATAACCACTCTTGGCTGTTTGATCATTTATTCAGATACCCTTTTTGGAGCACCTCCTATGTGCCCAGCACTGTGCTGGGTTCTGACCATAGGATACTTTCTTCCATTTATGAAGGAATCTTATAATATAGCTTTAAAATGTATCTCCTAACAATGCGTTAGTTCAGGCTGCTATAACACAGTACCATGACTGGGTGGGTTATAAACAACAGAAACTTATTTTCTTACTGTTCTCGAGACTGGAGGTCTGAGATCAGGGTGCCAGCATGCTCACGTTCTGGTGAAGGCTTTCTTCTGGGCCACCTTCTGGTTGATCCTCATAGGCCAGAAAGAGGGCAAAGAAAGCTCTCTGAGTTCCTTTTACAAAGGCACTAATCTCATTCAGGAGACCCTCATGACCTAATCACCTCCCAAAGGGTTCACTTCCTAACATCATCACCCTTGGGGTTAGGATTTCAACACAGGAATTTTAGGGGGACACAAAAATTCAGTCCATAACGAACGGATTATAAAGCCTCTATTTCAAGGCCAGTTGCACTGGGTACATTTTCTGAAGTTTGCATGGGTTTTTCTATATTTTTTCCATCTCCAATTCCCTCCCCGTTTAGTTTCCCCCACCCCATTGCAACTCTCATTATATGATGAACAGAACTTTTATCAAAAGACACAAGAGAGAAGAGTAGAGAGGGCTTTGGTAGTTATCATTTTGTGCCTCTAACTTTACTATGTGGGGTCTTGGTATCTGAAATACCCTCCATGAAGCATGGCCAAAGTTATCTCTTGGATCCAGGGCTGCTGGACATCTGGGTGCCAAGGAGGAGCTACCACCAGGCACCTCTACAGCCCTTGCAGTTCCTGTGACCCCCTGCTTTAGACGGATCCTACTATAGTCATTTGGTAGGGTTTAAAAGCCTGTTTCCAGGGATCAGACTATTGCAGGCCAAATCACTGGTTTAACCTGGAGCAAATCATTAACTTCTCAAGGACTCAGTTGCCTCTTCTTTGAAATGAGAATAAGAGTGACTACTTTGTAGGGTTGCTGTAAGCATTAATCTCCCGCTGTTATGATTATTATTAGTTTCCTACAATGTGCCACATACTCACTTAGGAACTGGAAGTACAAAGGAAGAGTCAGCTCCTGACGTTAGGGAGCCACAGACTAAAGGAGAGACAGACGCTAAGCAGGATAATGATGATAATACAACATGGTAGGCATGGTGAGAGAGAAAGTGACTTCCCATTGTGTCATAGGGGTTGGGAAGACCTTAGTCAAGGCAACCTAAATAGAGAAGGGTGGTGGGCTAGGAGGAGAGGTGGTTCAGGTACCCGGAAAGGCATGAGTGGAGAAGCAGTGTGTGAGGACAGAGATGATGAGTAACTTGCTGCAGAAGCAGGAGGGGCAGAAGTTGTGGCTTAACCAGGGTCTGACCTGGAGGGCCCAGGATCTGGAACTTGATTCTATTAGATGGTAGGATGGAAGGATGTTCAACGGGGAAGTGACATGGTGGTACTGACTTTTAGATGAAATGCTTTTGTGAGGTGCTACTTGAGGGAGACAAGGCAGAGAAGCCAAGGTGGGCCTGGACTAGGATAGCCATGGTAACCACAGAAAGGAGGGAGGGATAAGGGACAGATGGTAGATATCCTCTAGGAGTGAGGTGCTAAGATTTCCAAGGTTCAGTGGAGAAGATGGATGTTGATTCTTGATGTCTGCAGTCTGTATGCGTATGTGGTGGTAATGAGGGAGCCAGTAGTAGGGTGATGGCTAAAGTGTCAGATATTGCCCTTTCGGACTCAGGAAGTGCAATGTGTGGGGTGCTTGGACTAGGGGAACAGCAGTGAGGGAGAAGAGGAAATTGGGCATAACCCCTGGTTCTCCAGCTTGAGAAATTGGGAGGAGCAGAGAGGAGCAGACTGGGAGGAAAGGAAGACATGATGTGGCCGATTTTCTTTGCCCCCTGAGTCCTCCTCTTCCCCTTCCTCTGCCCTCTCCTCTTCATCTTTCTTCTCCTCTTCTTCCCTCTGGCTCTGAGCAGGCACCAGTCTGTTCAGCTGGTGCTAACTGGGCTGCAAGGAAATCCATGTGCTTCTGGAACTGGAAACAACTATGGCAGGCAATTGGGAAGAAGGATTGCTGAGCCATTGCTCTTGAACTCCTGGGCATATTGTGTTTTTGTCCACTGGTGATGGGCCATGCCCTCTGGGGTGAGGACAGTGCCTTCTGCTGGAAACAACACTGGGATACTGACCAGCATCCACACTCATGAGTCCTGAGGAGCCCTCTGAATTCTTCCCGTTTTCCTCATTTTGTTCTCCTTGACATCCCATGCTCAGCTTCTTGGATGGATTAATATTCTGTCTAACATCCTGCCTAAATGACTTTGTTTGAAGGAGGCTGCATTTCCATAACGGGCTGAAACCTAAGGGTATTTAGTAGCTCAGTAGAAGGTGAAAGGTGCTGAATTTTTAATCAAGGGATTTTTTCTTTCATTTTCCACATCACCAGGTGTAATCCTCCTTCTGCCTTTCCTTTTATCAGACATTCACAGCGCCAGGTGGTGCTTCAACTAATGCGTGGTGTCGCTCAGGTCTGATTGAAAATGTGCAGTGTGGAGCCTGCAGTGTTGGCCCCAAATGTCCTCAGAATGGTTAAGCCAAGAGATCGACTAGAGTATGCAAAGGGTGTAGGTGCAGGCTTGAAAATATCAGATTGGGTGATTATCCTGGGCTTGGCTTTGAGAGGCGAGCTCCATAGCTTGTATAAAATACGCATGACACAACTACTGAGCTTTTCTCCAGAGGTTTAAACACAGTGCCAGGTGCCAATATGCCCTTTGCTTCCTTTCACAAGCATTTCTTTGTGAATAAAGTCATTATTTACTGCAGGAAGGGGGAGTCACAAACCTTTAAGCATCAAAATATGCTGATGCCACCTCCATCTTGAAAACAACAACCTAAATCAAGGTTTCTTGACCTATTTACTCAGCTAGCTACCATCCCTCTTCTCTGCCCCCACTTAGAGCAAAATTTCTCAGGTGAGTTGTCTTCACCCTCGGTCCCCGATCCCTTGCCTCCTGTTCTTCCTCACAGCCACTCCAGCCATGCTCTGTCCCCATACTCCACTTGAAAAGACTCTTACCAAGGTCATGGTGACCTCCATTGCTACATCCTTTGCTCAGTTCTTAGTTCTCATCTCAGTTGACTGTGAGCAGCGTTTGTTATGTTCTCATTCACCTTCCAAGATCCCCGATACTTATTGGTTTTTCTTCAATTTCACTTCCTTAGTCTCCTTTGCTGGTCCTTTTTCTACATTCTTGTTTTTGCAATGCTAAGCTCAGGTCTTTGGCCCCGCCTCTCTCTAAACTCTGCTTGTGATCTCAATCCCTTTTATGGCTTTAAATGCTCTCTATATGCAGACAATGGGCAAATTCATATTTCCAGCCTAGATCACATTCCTGAATTCTACACTATTCTATTATGTTGGCACCATGGATCGCTTACATCTCCCTTCAAGAGAGAACTTGCCCTTCAGCTGCAAGGAGTACAGTTGGCTGCCTACCTCTAGCTTCAGCGTCATCAGGATCTACTGCATCATTTGAGCTGAGGCCATGCTCTCTGTAGCCAGTCTCCAGCCAATGACTGAAGACGGCAAGGATACCTGGGCCTGGCCATCTCTGCCCAATGTGGGAAATCTCTAACGGGCAAACCTAAGTCCAGAGCATCCAATCAGCTTGGCCAAGACTTGTCAGGTCTGCCCAGGCTGTACATCTTGCCAAATCCTGCTTATTCCCCCTTTATTTATAACAAGTCTTGTTCCCAATAAACTTTATGAGCCCTTAATGCTGTCTCAGTGTCTGTATCCTGGAGAGCCCCGCCTGACAGTAGCCAACTGCCTACAGCAGCTTTGCCAGCTTGTTAGACACAGCAACATAACATATCAAAAATCAAACTCCTGTTCTTCCCCGCTCAGCCTGCTCCACAGCATCCTTCTTCATCTCAGGGCATGGCAAGTCCATCTGTCCAGAAACTCAGCCAAGAACCTTCTCTCTTCCTCTCAAAATCCACCTCTAATCCATCAGCACATCTTGGCATCTCTACCTTCAAAACATATCCTGACTCTATTCGCGTCTCTGCCTTCCCCTGCCCGCACCTGGATTAGTGCAGTACCCCAACGGGACTGCCTGATTCTTCCCTTGCCCCCACTGCCTACTTATGCAGACTGCGTATCCTTTGAAACTTCCCCTAAAGCAGACCCAAAGATAACAATTCAGGCACACGTGAGTTATGTAAGGGTTTGGTCCCAGGAGAAGCCAATAAGGGGATGAAGAAAGCAGGGCAGGGTTGGGTGTGACTTCAGCAAAACCCCAGCCCTGGCCTGATCCTGCAGGGGTGCCCTGGAGGATCATTTATGCCCTAGAGTTTGTCCAACTTGAAGGAAAGTGTGCTGGGCACTAATTAGTTACAGGCTCCAGACCACCTGGACAGATGCAAATTCCCCGGTACTTCTTGTCCTCTGTGCTGGGGTCCAGACTACAGTAGCTCGAAGACAGGTCGTCAGAAAAGAGTCACAGGTATGGTTGTTAGAAGGAAAATCACACAGCAGCCAGGGGAGGGGTGCACAGGAGGGCCCAAGGGATTGGATGAGGCTGATGATGTCTGATTCAGAAACATAAATCAGATCATGTCACCTCTTCGATCATAACCTACAAAGGTTCACCATTTCTCGTCTAATAACCCTGACCCTTTACATTGGTCTACAAGGTCTGACGTGATCTGTCCCCTCACCCCCACTACCTGTCTGCTCTCATCTCCTACTCTCTACTACTCTCCCTCATTCTTCTCCCTCTGGCCACACTGGGCTCCTGCTGCACCATGAACACTCCAGGCATTTCCTCACCACAGGACCTTTGCACTGGTTGTTCCCTCCACTGGAACGCTCTTTCTCCAGATAACTACATCATTAAATTCTCCACTGCTTCTGAGTCTTTGCCCAAAGGTCACTTCCTCAATAAGGTGAGATCTCTTCAATCTCTTGAGCCCCCTAATTAAAACTGTAATCTGCCTACACTGTGACCCATCGTTTTCCTGACCTCTGTCACTATGATCTACTTTTTCCATAGGACTTACCATCATATGACATACTATCTAATGTACTTGCTTATTATGTCTATTGTTTATTGTGTCTCTCCTGCTGCAATGTCAGCTATAGGATGACTGTTTGGTTCACTGATGCACACCAACCACCTAGAATAGTGCCTGGCACATAACAGGCTTCTCAATAAATAATTATTGAATCAATGCTAAAGAGTAGAATAAGGATTAGATATTCCATGCTGGGCATCCTAACAACAGCTGCCACTTAAAGTGATAAATGTTTTTAAACAGTCACATTTCTCTGTTTAATAAACTAGGACGAACATGTCACCAAGGGTGATGTCTTAAGGATGCTTTGTCATGATGCTTGGTTCTGGAGGAATGAGTTAGATGCTGGGATGGATAAAGCAAATGGCCTAGAAAAAATGAGGCTCACTATTTGATCCTAAAGGCCAATGATATGCCCATGCAAGCTGCGTGAGGGCAGAGGCTGTGTGTATTTCTTCTCTGTGTTCTCAGCTCTTTTCCTGTCTGTATACTTACATGTATACAGTAGCATTCAATGAGTATGTGTTGAATGAATGAATGAGTGAACATATCATCCATTTGTCTTTTCTTCTCCTATGGCCTTCTTTTCAGCGAGGGATGGAGTATATTTGACCAGTGAGACTAGTTCTGACCTAGGTTCCAAGGTCAGTCTTGCGCCTGAGGGGGATTTCACTGCGGGTCAGTCTTGGTGTGATTCTGCTCAGTTGTGTGCTAGAACTATGCTCTTCAGGGTTATGAGGACAGAACCCTGGTCTTAGAACCAGGCTTCTCCATGAACCTTCTGGACATAGGTCTTATTCTGCTTATGTTCTTTGCCTGCGTATTACCTGCAAGAATAAAGTCAGATCCTGCTCATTCAAATGGAGCCCCCTTCTCAGTCTACAACCCAAAACATGCATACATGCAGACACACACACATCACACACATTCCTGGGAACGCCTCTGTGGAAAGCATCCAGATGGCCGCTGATGGACTTTCTTCTTGCTTGCTCTCTGTTGCCTGCCAGCCTGGTTTCTCCCAAGTGACCTATTTCTGGCCTTTGAATTGATCCTATGTTGATTGTTTTCCTGGAATGTGGCTTATTTCTGGAGATTTTAGTTTTCGGTTCTTTCTCTGGCTGAACGTTCCCTCATTACCAGCTTCTATAGCTCATTCCCCAACCTCTATCTCTATGTTACATACAAAGCGGATATTATTTTAGCTTTTAATTCAATCTACCTTGTCCTGCTATAATTAACTCCTTTTCATCTGGCCAGGCAACCATGTCATAAAGTGAGCTATATATTAGCGAAACCCAGATGTAACTTAAAAGTCCATCATCAAATTTGTGTAGATCCAATGACTCGTAGAGACAGATTTACCTGTGTTAAAATATCCATGGGGTGACTTGCTTCCGGCTCTGGAGCCCACCACCATTTTTTCATCGTGAATATCTCTAGACTCACCATTGACTTCCTGCTTTAGAATTTGACAGACTTGGCATCTGTGATGAACGCAATCAGGAATTCTGGAGCTCACAGTCCCCTTTGATCAGAGCTTCCGGTGGCATTCCCCTGTGTGCTGCATCAGTGGATTCCACATCTATTTCAGGACTGTCGTCGTTTGGTAGGACCGCTCCCTTCCAAGAATGTTGTTGGTGCAGCACATACAGATGAGGACACCTGCCATCTGCATTTCAGGAAAATGCATCATGAGAAAGAAAGATGCTGTTTAAGCTAAGGATTTGCAATTTCATCAAACTGCTTTGAAATGAGTGCTTTGCATTTTTAAAAGGCTTTATTAACAATAGAATCACTGAAATATCCCCGTAGTAAAGAAGACAGGCTAGACTGGCTTGTGTGTACATTATAAATACAGCTATTATTGAATTCAGATTTATTACAGCTAACATTTCTCTTTTGGTTCCATCATAAGGAAAGAAAATACCGGAGTCATGGGATATTGGTATAGGTAAGGCCCTAAGAAATCATTGTTCAGGAGCTTTCAAATTGTGTGTCTGGCATTCCAGAATTCTCATCAGTACCTCCAGGGGTAGGACAGAGCAGGATACAGAGGGCTGAAATTTGGGACACAATGGTTAAATCGCCTAGGCTTTTGGTAAACAGGTTCTTTTTTGCCTGTTGTACATGTTAGTGTTTATACAAGATTTCCTTTGAATAAAAAGACCATTATTTTTAATAGACTTTATTTTTTAGAGAAGTTTTACATTTACAGAAAAATTGTATCAAAAGTACAGGGTTCCCGTCAACACTCTCACCATCCCCAGATGATTTCTCCTATTCTCGACGTCTTGCACTAGTATGGTACATTACAATTGATGAACCAATATTGATACTAATTATTATTAAGTCCATAGTTTACATTGGGTTCACTCTTTGTGTTGCACGTTCTATGGGTTTTGACAAATGTATAAGGACATGAATACACCGTTACAGTATCGTACAGAAGAGTTTCATGGCCCTAAAAAATATCCCGTTCTCCACTTATTCATCCCTCCCCTAATAAACTAGGCAACCACTGACCTTTTTACTAACTCTATTACTTTGTGTTCTCCAGAATGTCATATAGTTGGCATCACAAAGTATACAGCCTTTTCAGGTGGCTTCTTCTACTTAGAAACATGCATTTAAGATTCCTACGTGTCTTTTCACGATAATTAATTTCCCTTTATTGTTGAATAATACTCAATTGAATGGATGTACCAGTTGGTTTATCGATTCATCTATTGAAGAACTTCCTGGCTGATTCCAGTTTTTGGCAATTATAAATATTTTCTCCCATTCTGTGGCTTATATTTTCATTCTCTTAACAGCATCTTTTGCAGAGCAGAAGTTATTATTTTGAATCCAACTTATCAATTTTTTCTCTCATGGATCATCTTTTTGGTGTCGTATTTAAAAAGTCATTGCCAAACTCAAGGCCACTTGGATTTTCTCTGTTGTCATCATCTAGGGGTTTTATAGTTTTGTCTTTTACATTTAGATCTATGATATGTTCTCAGTTAATTTTTGTGAAAAATGTAATATCTGTATCCTGATTAATTTTTTGTGTGTGAATGTCCAGTTGTTCCCGCCCCATTTGTTGAAAAGACTATCCTCTCTCCATTGAATTGCCTTTGCTCCTTTGTCAAAGATCAATTCACTACATTTATCTAGGTCTGTTTATGGTCTCACTCTTCTGTTCCATTGATCTGTTTGTCTATTGTTTCACACTGTCTTGATCACTGTGGCTTTATAGTAAGCCTTGAAGTTGGGTTGTGTCAGTCTTCTGACTTTGTTCATCTTCAGCGTTATGTTCACTATTCTACTATCTATTTCTATTCTATCCAATGCTATATTATCTGTTTCTCCTTGCATGAGTTTTGGTAGATTGTACCTTTCAAGGAATTGGTTCAGTTCATCTAAGCTATCAAATTCGTAGGCATGCAGTAATTTATAATATTTCTTTATTATCTTTCTAGTGTCACTGATCTATAGTGGTTGACTCTCTCTCATTTCTGATATTAGTAATTAGTGTGAGAGAATTCTTTTCTTCTTGTGTAGCCTGGCTAGAGGTTTATCAATTTTATTCATCTTTTCAAAGAACCAGCATATGATTTCATTAACTTTTTCATTAATTTCCTGTTTTCAGTTTCATTGATTTTTGCTCTAATTTTTGTTGTTTCTCTTATTTTGGATTTAATGTGCACTTCTTTGTCTAGTTTCTTAAGATAAAAGCTTAGATTATTGATTGTATATCTTTTCTTCTTTTCTAATATATGCATTCGATGCTATAAATTTATCTTTAAGCACTGTTTGCTGCATCCCACACATTTTGATCAGTTATATTTTCATTTTCATTTGGTTAAAAAATGTTTTAATTTCCCTTGAGACTTCTTCTTTGACCCATATGTTATTTAAAAATGTGTTGCTTAATATTTATTTTCAGATTGTTCAATGTTAGTGTGTATTTAATCTTTATTTCTTCATATGGCTTCACATTACTGTCTATTGTCCTTTCATTTTGACTGGCAGGGCTCCTATAAGCATTTGTTACCTTTGCAGGGCAGGTCTAATACTACCAAACTCCCTCAGCTTTTGTTTATCTGGGAAATGTCTTAATTTCTCCTTCACTGTTGAGGGCCAGTTTGGTTGGATATAGGATTCTTGGTTGATCATGTATCTCTTTTAGCATTTCGAACATTTTGGCCCACTGCCTTCTAGCTTCTGAAGTTTCTAATGAGAAATCTTTCGGTAATCTTATTGAGGATCCCTTGTATTTGATGTGCTGCATTTATCTTGCTGCTTCCAAGACTTTCTTTGTCTTTTGCTTTCAAAAGTTTGATTATAGTATGTCTAAGGGTGAGTGCCTTTGAGTTATCTTATTGCAGTTTATTGAGCTTCTTCAATGCTTATATTTATGTCTTTCAGATAGTTTGAGAAGTGTTCAGGCAATATTTCTTCAGACAGTCTCTCTGCTCCTTTCTCTCTCTCTTCTTCGGGGACTTTTACAGTGTATATGTTGGTCTTCCTGATGGTGTCCCACAGTTCCCTTAGGCTCTATTCATTTTTATTGAATCTTTTTGGCTTTATGTTTCTCAGACTCCATAATTTCCATTTTCCTATCTTCAAGTTTGCTGATTCTTTTGTCTGCTTCCTCAAATGTGTCATTGATTGTCTCTGGTGAATTTTTCATTTCAGTTACTACACTTTTAAGTTCCACAATTACTTTTTGCTTTCTTTTTAGGTTTTCTCTCTTTATCAATATTTTCAGTTGTTCATACATCACTTTCTTGACTTTATTCACATTTTCCTTCAGTTTTCTGAGCATCTTTAAGGCAGTCGTTTTAAAGTCTTTGTCCAATAGATCCACCATCAGGTCTTTTTCAGGGACAGTTTTTGTTGATTTACTTTTCCCTTTGAATAGACCATTCTTTCATCTTTCTTTGTATGCTTTATGTTTTTTTGTTGAAAACTGGATATTGGAAATAATGTGGTAACTCTGGAAATCGCATTCTCCTCCTTCTCCAAGGATTTCCTTTTTTTGTTTTGTTTATTGTTTTCGTTTTTTAATTGTTGTAGGCTGTCTCTGTGCTGAAGATCGGCCTAAGATACAAATTTAAGTAAGATCTTCTCAGGTCATTTCTAAGCTGGTGCTTTCTCCTGACATGTGTGGTAACTTTCTAATTTCTTCTATATACGCAGTAACTTTTGAATGTCCTAATCTGTAATGTCTGGCTCCCAAAAGGGGAAAAAGAAAAAAGTGAAAGGAAGAAAATAGGGGTGCTAGCACTTTAAATCCTCTGGAAATCACTTCAGCTGGCAGTGGGTGCTTGTAACAATGGGAGGAGGTGCAACAGCAGTGGCTGCCCACCTCTTTGTCTGTACCTCTGAAATTAGAAATGGTAATTAGTGATCAGAGCACAGATTCCTAATATTTTGAGAACAGGGTCCTTTATGGCCACTTTGGCTCCAAAAAGCCACTTGAAAGCTGCTCTAGTAACATGTGTACAGCTCCCTGCCACAGAGTGAGGGAGTGGGCAATGGGTAACCACTGCTGAGCTAAAAGCTGAAAATGACCAAAATTAACCATAATTTACGATCCAAGTCTTCCCTTGGAAGTTTCTAGCCTGTAATATAGTCTATAATTCTAAAGTAGTTACACTAGACAGATTCTGACAGTGCAGTCTAGGTGGGAAGATAGTTTCATGGTGCTTCTTACTACAGATTCAAAACAATCCCAGACAAAATTATAACAGTTTTCTTTTTGCAACAATAGAAAAGCCAATCTTCAAATTCAAGTGGAATTTAAGGGGCCCTTAATAGCCAAAACAATCTTGAAAATGAGGAGAAAAGTTGGAGGAGTCACACATTCTGAATTCAAAACTTACTACAAAGCTATAATAATTAAGACATTGTGGTACTGGCATAAGGATAGACAGATGAATGGGTGAACCAAATGTGGTATATACATACAATGGGATATTATTCAGCTGGGAAAATGAATGATATTCTGATACATGTCACAACATGGATGAATTTTGAAAACATTATGCTAAGTGAAATAAGCCAGACACAAAAATACAATTATTGCATGATTCCACCTATGTGAAATATCTAGACGATGCAAACTCATAGATACATAAAGCAGATTAAAATTTACTAGGAGCTGGGGGAGGAGAGAATGCTAAGTTATTGCTTAATGGACACAGAATTTCTGTCTGGAATGATGAAAAAGTTTTGTAAATAGTGGTGATGGTCACACAACATTGTGAATGTAATTAATGACACTGAATTGTACACTTTCCCCTCCTCCTCTTTCTTCTCTACCTCTTCCCCTTCTTTTTCTTCCTCTCCTTCTCCTCATCCCCCTTTTCCTCCTCCTTCTTTCTGTCTTCCTCCATCATCTTCCAACAGCTTTATTGAGTTTTTTTAATATTATAAAATTCATTCATTTCAAGTGTACAATTCAGTGATTTTTAGTAACTTTACCAAGTGATGCAATAATCATTATAAGTTTTAGAATAGTTTCATTCCCCCCAAATGATCCCTCATACCCTTTTACAGTTACCCCCCACACCTGCCCAATTCCTGCCCCAAGTCCCAGGAAGCCACCAAAAATATATTTCCTCTCTATATAGCCTTTCCTTTTCTGGGCATTTGAAATGATATTATAAATGGTGGTCTCTTGTGTTTAACTTCTTTCACCTTGGATAATCTTTATGATGTTGGTCCATGACATAGCATGTGTCAGTACTACTTAATACTGTTCCATTACAAGAGCTATATTACATTTTATCTATCCCCTCCCCTGTTGATGGACATTTAGATTGTTTCCATTTTCGGCTATTATAAATAATGCTGCTATAAAGATTTGTGTGCAAGTTTCTGTTGTGCATATGTTTTCACTTCTCTTGGGTATATATATAGAAGTAGAATTGCTGGGTCATATATGAAAGTTTTGTGTTTAAGTTTTTGAGACACTGCCAAATTGTTTTACAATTTAGCTGCATCATTTTACAATTCCATCAGCAGTGTATCAAGTTCTGGTTTTCCCACATCCTTGCCAACATATGTTATTACCTCTTTTATTCATTATAACATTCTAGTATGTGTGAAGTGGTAATTCATTGTGGTTTTAATTTGCATTTCTCTAATAACTAATATTATCGAACATCTTTCTGTGTGGTTCGTAAGCATTTATGTATCTTTGGTTAAATGTCTGTTCAAATGTTTGTCTACTTGTTGATTCTGTTGTTTGTCTTATTACTGAGTTGTAGGTATCCTTTTAAGTGGATGTAAGTCTTTCACTAGGTATGAGTTTTGCCAATATTTCTGACTAGTCTTATGGGAAGTTTTTGGAGTCTACTGAAGGTGGGCTAACTTTGGGAGGAGCCCTAGAACACAGGGCTCCACACGCTATGGCACCCACGGTTCTTTTCTCACAAACAGCACTTCTTCTAGTAAGGTCTGGTTATGTGACAAGTCAAGCTGTTTATATTGTCGAATGGATCCAGCCAGTGTCTCTTGGATGCCAGGACACCGTGCTCACATTGTTCCTGGCTAGACTGGGAGGTGGGGGGAGGAGGGAAATGGCTTTTTCTATCAACTGGCAACAAAACAAGCTCTCAGAGAAATCTTCCAGCTGGTTACAAATAATTTTGATAATTCAGGAAAAAATGGCTTTGAATATACATACAATATTTATTTCTTATTGGTATTTTACTGAAATCTCCTGAAGTACGCAGCCTGTAGGCATACAGAGCACCAGTGTGCAGGCCTGCTTGCTATCCGCTTCCTTCAGAACAGGCCTTCAACATCTGTCAGACAATCTGCTTCAAAGTCACAACTTTCTTCATTGACTCTGACCTGATTTGAAAGCACTTATTCTTTTGTGAAAACAATATTTTTCAACGTGTGAAAAATGAGCATAGAATCAACTGTTTGAAGTAAAAAACAATCCACCCTGGCTTTTGGAATATGCACAAATATGGGTGTTGACACAAAGCTTGGAACTCTTCTGGTACTAATGTGATCCTCATTGCCTTTTCTGAGTATGTAGCTACCCAGAGACTGATGGACGGGTTCTCCACAGTGTTCTTCTCTTTCTCCCTTTGTGTCAGTTTGCCACCTAAAACAATTAAAATGAATAGCCTCCTAAATGTGATTAGCATCCTGATACAAACAGCATCTAAATTTCTACCGAAATTACAAGCCAGGTGCATTACTTTCTCACTTTTCTCAATCTACTTCCTTACTTAACTTTGACCATCTCTCTTCTCAGTGGGAACGTTCCACAGAAAAATATATAGGGGGCTAAAGTTTCAGAGAAATCTTGTGGAATTCAATGAGATGAGCCATGCAAAACTGTAGCTCTTCAGGGAAAATCTAGGCTATTAAAATGCATTAGGCCAGTACAATTCTATTCCATTCATAAAATTTCCATTGTCTTGCGTGAAATTTATGGAGTCTCACTTCTTTCCTCAGCAGCAAAAACCTATTTTGGAGTGGGGAAGAAGGCAAGTGCCCCAGCAACATACTCATGTAAAATCCCCACATTCCAGAAAGGGAAAAAAGGTTATAATTGTTGAAATCACAATCACATTGTTAAATGTATATGAAAACAATTACGTATGTTGTGACATATAATTCCTGTTGCTGTTTTTGTTGCTCTTGGTCAGTAGAGGGCCTTCATTTTACATAAAGTTAGAAAATATAAACAAAGACACAATCAGCAGAACGATCTACTCCTGCTCAAATTACCAACACACACCACCCCCTTCCCTTGTGGCCCTCCCATTTCTCTTTTTTTTTTTTTTTTAAGCATTGATCTACAACTAGTACCCTCAGAATTCCCTTGAAACAAGATTCTCGTGAAAATCAAATCAAGATGGAACAGAAAAAAAATGGTAGAGATTATTCATACTTCTGGCCTGAATTCTTTTAGGTATTTGGCATTTCTCTTCTTAAAAGAGCTCAAAATTGCTTCTGAATATTGATTTGCACCAACAATACCCATGTGAAGAATAGTGGAGGTAACGAATCACTCAGTGTTAGATCCAGGAATACTGAGTCATAGAAAAAAACACAATTGTACCTTACCTTAACTGTGGATTCTCAAGAAGTTTTTTATTATGCTTTAGTAAACTGAATCATTTTAAATACACTAAGAGGTCTGTATGTTTAGGAGCACGTTACAGCGGATTATAGAAAGTGATCAAGCACAGTATTTCAGGGTTGCTTAGTGTTCTGATTGATTTGTTCTGTGAGTCTGGAATTTAGAATGTGTCTCTTGGATTTATAAGATGGCTGCTCCTTTCTGTGCTACAGGGGATGACTTCACACCCATGGTGGAGGTGTGGGGGGCAAATAATGAGGGAATAATGGGCTTCGAGGTCTCATGACTTGGGAGTCATCTGCTGGCCCCTTGTCCTCTCCAGCTGATGATCCACGGGGAACTAGACCCAATAAGTGATCAAAGAGAAAGTGTCATCATCCTGAAATCTTCCTTAGGCTGAGCCCTTGCTGGAGACCAACCAAGCTGAGATCAGGATCTGATAAACATCTCAAAGCAGGGCCAAGTTTTGACTTTATGGATCGAACATATTCCCTTGTGCTGTGCTCTGGGGAGGGTAAGTTCTCACATTCTGGGGCTTTTGGGGAGCTGTATGTCTATCTGTATCTAAATCTATGTTATCATCTACATGTCTGTCTGCTCCCTCTTATCTGACACCTGTTTCCTCAATCTCCCCAGTCTTTCTCTCAAAATCCTCTTTACTCATTACTCTCAACTTCCCGCTATCAGTCATCTCCACTCCTCCTCCTAAGAGAAAGGAGTCGTAAATCCCTGGCCCCTTCATATAGCTTAAAAACCCTAGCAGTTCAGAATTTGGACACAGGCTAATACATATTTTCCTATACCCAGATTTTTCTGGCACTAGATAGGACAAGGATGGGTTTAAGGAAATGGTTATGCTCTGATTCTGGTTCTGTTTATTTACTAGAGAGATCTGTAGCTGGTTGACCTAAGATCTTGTCAGATTTATTTTCTTCCTGGGAAAACAGTCTAGTCTCTTGAGGAAGTCCTGTGACTTGATTAACATAATTTTGAACAAACTCCTTATAAAATCACTTCTTGGGAAATAGTTACTGAGCATTTGTTTCCTTCCTGAGTTTATTTATTCGACCAGAGGCCCCCATGTTGCAGAAAACAGCTCTTACCTGTCCAGAGTGGATGGATTCTCACTCGTAACAAAATGTCCACGTAACTGGTGTGGGGAGCTGGAGAAGAGTTCTCAGTTTGTCCTTTCCTATATGTGATGCTATGGCCCCCTTCAACTCCTTAGAGTATAACAGGCCATTTTGTTTTAAAGTTTCAAATTGGCCCCTTGTGAACCCCCAAGTGCAGATGAGCAGGAACTTGAGCTTCTCCAGGGATCAACCATTTGTTTAAGAAGTCAAGGACTTAATCTACAGAGACCAGTCCTGTTTGTGGTCCTTTGTCAGAATAAGCGCAGAATCTAATCAGTTTGCTGTCAGGGCCCTATTGTCCTAGATCCTGGTTGCCATTGTTTTGGGGCTGTGAGGAAGGCATTGGTGATGCAGATAGCTGCAAAAGACACAGGGTTCTTTGTGAGCAAGTGGCCCCGTCTCTTTAGTGTCCTGCTTGGCCAGGGATGTGACATCTTGGGCTCCTCTGGTTACAGCCCTTCAGGTGATATTTATTATGCTAAGCCACCCCTTTGGGCATTGTTGGTCGACCACTCACCCTCATTTCATTCCTCTTTTGCTATGCTCTAGCATCCTTTCTTTTCTATTCCTAGAACCTGTAAGACTTATTGGCTCCTTAGAATATTCGCACAAATGATTCCTCTGCCTGGAAAGATTTTACCCCTCATATTTGTATTGCTGGCTCATTGTCACTGAGATCCCTGATGTCATGCATGGCAGAACTCTACTTTAATTCTCTGCGTTTATCACCATCTAACTTGTGTGTTTGCTGGTTTGTTATTTTCTACCTACTTCTCCCTGTAGAAGGTAAGCTCCTTGGGAGTCCAGACATAATGTGTCTTTTAAAATTCTGTATTCTCAGTTCATAGAACAGTGGTTGGTATACAATAGTAATTATTAGCCATTTTTAAAAACCAACTGGAAATGAAGAGAAGGGGCAGAAAATTTATGGAATTATATTTATAGGAGAATAATTTTTTGTAATTTCTCTAAATAAATATTCTTGTCTTCCTCCATTCCTCTGCTCCCTCTCTCCTGCTCTCTCTCCTTCTTTCCTGTCTTATTTTTCTTAACTTGGTCTTTATATGTACACTGTTTAAACATGGAGGCAGGTAGACCCCAGAGAATAACATGGAAAAGCTAGGCATTGTGATTCATGGTTCTTTGCCTATTCATTCTAAACCAACCTCAACAAATTCATAAAGAGTTACTTACAATGTTGTCATCTCGTTGTAGATTATATATTTTAGATTAATCAAATATAGATAGTTAACAAAGGCAGATAGTTCTACATGTCTTATAATGCAAGATGTCTATTTATTCTGATATTTATCTCTGTATTTCCAAATAAGATTATATTTTTATATATTAATTTTAAAAATTTTATATACCATCTAATAGCACCCAGCTCTGAAAGATTAGTATTTGGTTCTCTTTCACTTTTCTTCTCTCTCCCTTATGTTTGCCTCTTCCATCCTCCTAATATTGCTAAATCAATATTAAGTGTTTACATTATTATGCCTTTGAAATATTATTCACAGACAAGCTACCTACAGTTCCATGATTACAAACACTCTCTTGTGCAACTTTTGGTTTTCCTGTGAGTTAGAAATTGCATTATTTCTTATTTGTTTAATTTTCTATGCACCTATCATTCGTTTGTTCTTAATTTTCTGACAAGGCTGTAAAGCTCCTCTCAATAAGATCCAAACACATCCAATAATATAATCTACCAATTCCTTTTTTTTATTTTTCCCTTGAAAACCTCCTTTCATCTTCCTGCTCCATACTGGGAAGCTTGTACTCTAAGCCAGGGATCTACAAACTTTTTCTGTAAATGACATGATAGTAAATATTTTAGACTTTTGTTGTACTCAACTCTGTTGTTATAGCAAAAAACCAGCTCTAAGCAATCCATAAATGAATGGGCACAGCTGTGTTCCAATAAAACTTTATTTACACAAACAGACTGCCATCCTGCTACCATAGTTTGTTGACCCCTGCCCTAGGCCTGCTTTCCAGCTATCATCCTGGGTCTTTTTTCCTCATCATCCTGTAAAGTCCATTCATGTCTCTGTTGTATTGAATCCTCTGTTTCTGGAGCTTATTTCTTCCTAGTTCTTGGTTTCTTTCTTTCTTTTTTTTTTTTTTTTTGATGAAACATCTTTTAGTAGTTTTCTGATAAAAGTTGCATAAGAAATATTATTTTGAGACATTGGTTGAATTAAAATGTCTATATTTTCCTCCCCCACTTGCTTGATGATTTGTCTGGGTATAGAATTTTAGGTTGGAATTCAGTTGCTCACAATATGCAAAGGCATGTTCCGTGGTATTCTAGTTTCCATTGCTCATTTTAAGAAGTCTGATACCATTATGATTCCTAATTCTTTGACACTGGCTTGAGTTTTCAATCTTCTTTTTTTCCTTCTTTTCTACAAGATGTTTCAGATATGCTAAATGCTACAGGTAACGATATGAAACTACCCATGTCCCCACAACCTAGCTTAAAGAAACACAGTGGAACACAGTACACAAATTGAAATTCCGTGACCACCACTTCCCAATCTCATTTCCCTGTTTTCTTTGCAAAGATAATCATAATTGGTGTTTAAATTTTCCATGCTTTTTTACTTTTATTGCATAAGAATGTGTCCATAAACAATACATTGTCCTGATTTGTATGTATTTTAACTTCATATAAATGATATAATGTTATATATTCTGTGCTGAAATTTGCTTTTTTTCTCATTATATTTATAAGATTTATCTGTGCAGACACAGGTAGTTCCACTTAATTCTTTTTTTCTTATAATTGAAAGACATGTTTCCATCAAAGTGGCCCCCCACATAGCTATTATAATGAATGAACCTACATTAAGGTCCATTATTATGACATTTTAGAATGCTAGATACAGGATCCTAGAAGCTTCCAGAGAGAAAAATGAGCTCACTTGGCCTGCTGGACATTTATTTGTTCTTAAATCCATTCCTGCTCTTCCATGCTTCGGGGGCTAAACGCCCGCAAACTACATTTCTTAGTCTTGACAACTGGGTTCTAATTATGTTCTGCATTAGAAGACAGTGGCACAAGATTGGAAGGTGAAAGGGAGAAAATAGCCATACTGCTTCCAGCAACAGCTGCAACAGCACATCTTCACGCCCGGGCACAAGCCACTTGGTCCCTCTAGTGACCAAGGGAAAGTGCAGCTGCAGCGGCCCAGCCCCGGGTGATGGTGGCTTCCTCATCTGCATAGCACTCACTCGTCTTTGGGGGCTCTAGGGCCTCCCTTCTCTCTTCTGTCTCCTTGGTGACCAATTCCCTGTTTTCAATACAGCTCTGCTTTGTGACTTTTCCCTGACTGATCCGCTTTATTTCTGTCGTATAACTGATGAGCACTTCTAAAAATCCTCCTACCAGAAGCACCTAGAGCCTGGATGAAATATAAAAAGACTTCTTTTTAAATGCTTCGTTCCAAAAGAAATGGAGAGTAAATACAGCCCCAGAATAAAATGGAAAATGAAATTTTAAAAAATATGAAGAAACCAAGTATTGGCATTTGGAATAACTGAGCCAATGTTACTTATTGGAGGGAGTATTAGTTGGTATGCTACTGTGGACAGCAGTTAGTGGTGGCTGGAAAAGTTGAAGGTGAGGGTTCCCCAGGACCCGGCAATTCTACTTCTAGATGTACACAGCCTAGGGAAGGTCTCTCATACATGGCCGAGGAGAAATGTTCAATGAAGATCATAGCAGTGTTGTTTAAAATAGTGCAAACTGGTGCATTTATCAACAGGACAACTGATAAATAAATCGTGTAGAGCAAAAATATGGAGGACAATACAAAATTAAAATTAATGAATATGGTATGTGTCAACACTGGTAAGTCTCAAAATCATGATCTTGAGTGGAAAAAAAAGCTGTTTGTGAAAGCTTGTGATTATTGTATCTTTCTACAAAATTTTAAAACATGCAAAATATTGCCGTATGTTTTGTATGAATATATGGGTATGTAGTGAAAGTGGGAATACATGTGAAAACAGGTATACAAATAATAAATACCAAATTCAGGATATTGATTAGCTCTGTGGAGGAGCAAGAAGAATTGGGTAGGTTAGAGGTACACAGGGAGAAACAACTGATTCGGTAATGTTTTGTTTATTAAAAAAAAAGAAAAAATCTAAAACAAATACAGCAAAACTGATTTAGTAAAGCTGGAGAGATGGGGGCTATGTGGGTGTTTATTTTCTCTGCTTTTCCAACTATTTAAGTAAGAAATATAAAGTTATTAGACCTGAGAATTTACTCCAATTAAGATATTTTGAGATTAAAATTAGTAATGTATATTTTCATCTTAAATTAAAAAGTTGTGAAGTAATTTGAGATTATTTTAATTTATTGAATGAGATTTGTGTCCCTAAAATCTTACCATTGAGTTTAGCTTCAATTTCAGTGTTTGAAAATGTTCGAGATGTAGAAGGTTATGCTCAGCGCTAACATTCTCGGAGCCTGGGATGAGAGGACACATGGAGTCACACACTGAATGGCTAAGTATTTACAATTATCACTCATGCTAAAAAAACTTTTAAATAAAATTATATTGTAGCTATACCTTCGTTTATTGTTGTTGGTGCTGTCGAGTCGTCAGTCATGGCTCCTCATGACCCTGTGTACAGCAGAACAGAATCCTGCCTGGTCTTTTTGTACTATCCTTTGACCTTCCAACACTCTATCAGATAATACTCCGCTGCTATTCAAAGGATTTTCATGGCCAATTTTTTTGGAAGTGGGTGGCCGGATCCTTCTTCTGAGTCTATCTTAGTCTGTAAACTCCACTGAAACCTGTCCACCAGGGGTAACACTGATGGTACTTGAAATCCCAGTAACATAGCTTTCAGCATCATAGCACCACGCAGCCACTACAGTATGACAACCCACAGATGGGTGGTGTGGTGCCCCGACTGGGAAATAAACTCCCAGCAGTGGCAGTGAGAGCACTGAATCTTAGCCACTAGACCCCCAGGGCTGGCTCTATACCATCATGGTGACAAATAATGTATTTTTATATGCATAAATATTTGTGAAATATTAAAAGTGACTTTAGTCACCTTTAGTTACTAATTACTGTTACATATGTCTGGGTATTCAGTGTGATGAGGGTGGCAATATTTGGATGTAAGTGACAAAATAAAGACATAATTCATAAATCAATAAATTATTTTTCTTGCCATAATTTCAGCAAAATCTCTAATTTTATAATAAAAATTGTCACATAATTTATGATCTGTTGCAATAATGACCCACAAGCTTGAAAAATAAAAATAATCATATTCGAAGTGAACAAATTTTATTATATTTTAGTCAAAAATACAATTAAAATTAACACAAAAACCTGAAAAAATAAAAAAGTTCTTTCCTTCTAAAATATCTTAAGATTTCTACTAAAAATAAAAGAAAAATGCAAATCGTATGATCAAAATTTTAAAATTATATAAATGGAATGTTTTTTTACTTTTTGAAAAGTGAATTAAATCTGATTAAATTTTTTATAAAAATAAAACTTTTCTCAATTCCAGCGCTCAAGGCTCTTCTCTTTGCCAACATCCAAAGAGGGCTCACACTTCACTTATAGTTAATCAGTACCCACAGCCATTCAAATTTAAGCTTAATACAAATTTGTTTAATGCTGCAAAATGGTCCTCAGCACCAAGGGCAACTGTTGTGAACACCCTGTTAATTTGTCCCAAATTCACTCCAGGAACACAAATTGGAGCAGGAAGAGAAGTTGAAAACCGGGAGCTGGGCCCTGTAGGGAAAGAGCGTGCAAAACTGTTGCATTCATTTTAGCTGAGAATAAAATACTAACGAGTTAATTAATTTGTTTTCATCTTCCTAAGTCCTTTTCGCCACTCCCACCCCACGTCACTGTCAAGCGTGTGCATCCTCTGTGACGGCACTTCACGGCCTGCACACCTGGGACCAGTCCGTTTTGTGAAGGAACAGAGGACAAGTGGCTTGGCCTCCAGAGACGTTAGTTACCAGCAGCGACTTTCAGGTGACAGGTCATGCTGTACCCAATCCCAAGTGACAGAGGCACCTGTGTGTTCTTTAATAAACATATTTCTTTGTGTATGTGATTTGTTGGTCTAAAGTGTGGGGCCCAATGATGGGGCTCCCCCTTTCCAGAGTCTGGAGGTGGTGTTGTTAAAAGTAACTTAAGATCAGCAAAATTCAGTCTATTTGATTTCCAAAAGTCTTAGAAAATGAATCACAAGTCTTGATCTGGTCCATCCATCTGGTATATCCTTGCAAATGAAGAAAATAAAAATACTCCGTCAATTTTTAAAAATTAAAATGAAGTGAATGTTGAAATAATAACGGATAGCCTTTTCCCAAAAGATTATTTTTTTAATCCTATTTTTGTATTTAAGGTGGTCTCAAATGATAACAGCAGTGCGTGATGCCTCAAGGACTCTTATAAGGGCCTGGATGTACCATCTCATTTAGCTCTTGGACCATCCCTGTGACGTTGTTGTCCTTTTGGGTCCAGTGGTTTTGCTGCTCATGGTCAGTAGAACCAAAATTCAAACCAGAGCTGTGCAATTTCAAAGCCCTTTCTCTCAACCACTGTCACGTTGTGGGTCCTTGAGAATACATAATTTTTATTGTAAAACATTGTGAATGTACTGAATGTCACTGACTTGTACACTTTAAAATGGTTAATTTTATGTTATGTGAATTTCACCTTAATAAGAAAAACAAATACGTGATTTTAATTTTCTTTCACTCTAAAGTAGTGATTCCTGCCCTTCCATCATCTCCACACTTAACCATTATTTCTGCCATGGAATTGTACTTTGGAGCCCTTTTAATAAAATGAAATGGCATTTTTACACAATCTTATTGATCTTATGCAAGTTAGACTAGTATTGTATGTGCAACTGTATGTGCACTCATGCACATTTACACATGCACATTTATACTTTGTGGTTGTATGTGTGGTTGGGGGGTGTTGAAGATGGGGATGGGGGAGGTATGAGATCAGAAAGTAAGATGCACATGTGGAGATACTTGTAAGTGGCCTCTGCCTAGGAGGGACCACATTCCCCCAGCTATGTTCACATAGGGTCACAGACACGTTTCTGTGCTTTTAGATGTTGCTGGAGGCTCCAGGTTCCAGGCTTGGGGCTCTGAGACCCACTCTGAAGTGGGTGGCTGAGTAAGAGGTGAGGGGGACAATGTGCCCTGTGGACGATGGTGACTGACAGACTTGGGGAGAGAAGGCAAATTTGACGCCCAGGAAAACCAGAGAAGACATGTGGTGACTCTCCCCTTTTGGAAAGCATCTGGCAGTTGGCAAATATGTTCTTTGCCGTTTGATGACATAGCAGAGAATGTGAGCACTCTTTAATGAATGCCAGTGTCCAGTACATCGTAACTGTGTTGTTTCAAGGGTATTCGGGGCCATCCTGAAGCAGTACCTGCAATGAGGCATCTTATGTTCGTTACCTAATTTAATTCATTCACCATTTCAACTGCTAGTTTATTGGGCACCTATTATACCCTAGATACTCTGGGGAGATTTAAAAAAAAATGGGTAAGAAATTGCATTATACGTGGAGCAGGTACACTTTCTTTATCACACAAGCAATCCTTTCCTAGATGTTTCCAAAAGCTGGAACTATTCAACGAGAAAAGCTGTTGTAAATAAAATAAAGTCACCCAAATATATGAACTGTTCTTACTAATAGAAAACAAAATCAGTGTATCCCAGGGTAAACATTTTCTCCAACATCATTCACGTTGGCATCATAAGGTCCTTGGCTTTTTAGCATGGATGCCGCAGTACCAAATACCTGATTATGAATTAGCAGGAGCAGGCTCATCAGTCCTGAATGCAGGTGGCTGCTGGAGTTCCTGGAGGACTGGCTGCCCCTCCTTAAATTAACTCAGCAGCGATGATTAGGGCCTCAGGGTACGTTGCTTACGCTCTCCTATGAGCTGGAGTTCACGTTTGCTTATGGCCAACTTCTCTGTAAGTAGACCCAGTCCTACGCTTTAAACATTGAAGTTGCATCCTGTGATTTTGCTTTCTAAACTAAATTAAGTATTTAGATACAGAAGAACACACACGTATTGCATTTATTCAAACACAATAGAAGTAGACATGAAAGCGAACAGGGAATGATTTTAATCAGATAAAATTTAGCTCTCAGCTCGAAGACTCAGTGGCACTTGCAAGCAAATTCCCTTTTTGTCAAAGAGGTAGGTTTTAATTTTCCAGGTCTAACAAGAGAGAATGGGTCGATCACCTGACAGTTTTTTCCAGTTGGCTGCAGAGTGAGGAAGATTGACAGCAGCTTGAGGTCCCCTGGTGTGTACACAAGCAGCGTATCACTCCTCCCAATTACAGCTCCTTGAGGATGCTATCAATATGCACTAGCGGTTTCTCACTGTATAGATATATATTTTTCTAGCCAGAAGCAAATGAATATATTACCCATCCTCAGCAAAACGCAGGGCAAATGGATCTATGAGTCCTGGGTGATTGGAATTCCACGTGTGTGTGGGGGTGTGGCTACACTTCAGAACTCATTTTCACTGATGCTGACATGCAAGACAGTCCTCGGAGACCTGTCTATCAAACCACAACATGCTTTGCAGAAAAATTAGATTACTAATGCTCAGACAGAGGGGGCGATGGCAATTTAGAATGGCCTCTTAAATACCAATTACACTCGTGTTTACAAAGCAAATTAAACCCACGTGAAGGACATTGTTCACCCTGGCTACTCGGGCTGTGCATGAACATGGTTCTTCACAGCTGTTTGGAAACTCATGAAGAAATACACGTGCGCGCGTGCGGTCACACACATACACACACACGCACACACATGCCATATGTCCAGCTTTTTCTCTCCTTCTTAAATTTAATTTCAATAACCCTAAACAGCTCAATTTATTTGTTTTAGTAGCTAGATTTTTTGTTTTACTATAATTGCAATATGACTGGTTTGCAAATCCACTGCCTAAATACCTATTATCCATATCCAAATATCCACTGTAAGTGAGAAATTTTGCAGGTGGATTCTGTCCATCAGAGCAGAAGCTGGGGCAAGGCCCCCTGTGCTCATGGTAGGGATGTATGTATGGTCCCACATTTTATTCACACTGTTTGCATAGTTACTGAAGACAACAGATGTGTCAAATTCCACTGCATTTTTGCACAGTCTTGCCAGTAAAATGTTTTTTTCAATAAAGATATAAATGAGCAGATCACATGTAATGAAAAATTACATATAGAAGGTGCAGTGAAATCTCACTGAAGAGCAAGGAGAATAGCTCTAGAGATTTTAAAAGAAACCAGAGAGGCACATGGTAACTCTTGGCTGGAAACACACCCTGGCACATGGGGAGGTCGAGTGTTTCCCAGCACCTCATGGAGGCCCTTTTCACATCACTGGATAATGAAAGAGGCTGGCTGGGGTAAGATCTCCCTCCTTGTAATGACATGACAGTGCTAGGCTCTTTGAAAGTCCCCGGGTATGTTCTGGAATGCTAATTGAGCGTTTGGATCCCCATCGAGTGGGGTGTTTCCTTGGATTTCCTTGCAGCAGCTCAGTGGCACATTCTGCCCGATTTTTGTGATCAGCGTCAGAATAGTAGAGGATTTCTCTGATTTACAGCTCCCCAGACCGCGCCCCTTGCAGCTTAGCACCACACTTTCTGCATGTCTCCACATTTTGATATCTTTCAGTATGTAATGCAGATAGATTTGTTTAGCCAGCATTCTGTCATCCAGAAAACTCTATTAACTTTGGCATCTGTTCTTTGCTGCTATTGGGATAATTGATGTTCGTAATAATGACCCTGAAGCAATTCAGGTGCCTTTTGAATCATGCAGGATTACATTGTGTTTTGTAGGGGAGTGAGGGAGTCTCTGGGGTCCTGAAAGGGTGCAATGGTTTGAGAGTCACAGCCATGTCTAGCGTGGGACAAACTGCAGCTTGATGGACAAAGAAGTCCCTTTTGTTCACTCCCATTTCTCCATCCTTTATGCGTGCATCCAGCACTCATTTTCTGAATGTGTGCATCAGCCAGGTGCTCTGCGAGGCACCAGAGATACAAAGATGGATTAAACTCAGGCCTTGTCTCTAAGAGGTCGTCTGTATAGAGATGGGACCGGCTAACATCCTGACATCTGTAAAACAGAGATCGTGATTCACAGTGTGTTTGTCAAGCACTCAGGATGGGCACCTAACCTGGCAGAGGCTGGAGAGAGGGCGAGTCGGGACTTTGTGGAGGAGATAGTCCTCAAAGTGATTGTAAAAGCTTTAATGGGGTTGAGTCAGGTGGAGATTCCTGGGCAGAAGGGAGAGGATGAGCTAAAGCCCAGGACCATGACACAACACAAGGTCTGGGGGGAACTGCGAGGAGTTCAGTGTCACTGGGAGGTGATGTGGAAGGAGAAGATGCTGGAAGGCTGGAGGGGGCAGTTCATTTAGGTCCTTGCATCACATAAGACACTGGACTTCATTTTGAGCCTGTGGGGGACCATTGCAGTGCTTTCAGCAGTGGTCTTTCATGGACCAATTTTTGTTTTATAGTGGAGTTTTCTATAACCTCTCTTTTTAGTCACAGAACTTCTCTCTCTGATTTTCCGAGTGTCATCTTAGAAAGGATCCACCCCATGAAGCTGATAGAAGTGGGGCTTTTCTGTTTGGAGCAGGCTTGACGGGAGGGCGTTGCCTGGATTGTCTTCTCCATCCCACTAGCCGTTGGGATCGTGGGACACTGGGGACCAAGGAGCTGTTTGGTTATGGAGAGGTGATAAGGACTTAAGAGTGGTGAGAGCAGGACCAGGGGAGACAGAATGATGTGAAAAATATTTAGAAGGACAAACTTGTAGATGTAGTGGGAGGCCTTATAAAGACTTTCCCTGTGTTTGATTCTATTACTTAGCAGTTGAGGAACCAGAGCGTGAGACTACTGACCCGGATTGGAGACTCATTTTATGTCATAGGAAAAGACGGTATTTTCCTTCCAGAGAAGGTGAAGAAATGTTTTAGTGCTCCTGAGTTCTGAGCTCTCC